TAGTCAAGGCCATGATCTACATACTGGAACTTCATCTCAGTACGACTCAAGATGCTGCCATCCCGGATCTCTTGACAACAACCGAGGCACAGTTCGAAGTTGCATTTGGGGCAGCATCGATGAAAGTCAACAATAGAGGTTGCACAGTAGTTGCTGCAAACGAAGATGCAGCAGCGGTAAGCATACAAGTTCTCTAACAGTGAAACACACACTCCTACGTTACTCCAAGCAGGGAATGAAGGGTATGTTACCAATAGACTCGCTCATCATTGTTACAGAAGTTCTCGGGTACTTCAGAAGGGGAAGCTGGGTTGACACACAGGCCTTCAGTTTTGTATAGCAGAAAAGAGTATGAACATTCTTAAGCCAGATTCACAGAAAAACGGCATGAGAAGGGTTTACCAGAAAAGGTAGCATCTGCTAGTCTTTCCTGTTCTTGTTGGTCACAGATTTGTTGAAGGAAGGGAAAAAGTGAGTTGATAAGATAACCCAAATGCCGAATCTTTTCACAGGGGGAGAGCTCCCTTCTGGAGGTCTAAAAGGTTTGTGAACAATGCTGCTGTTAACTCCAATGTCACAATGGCGATTCGGTGAAAGAGGAGAGACTTGGGGAGTTACCTTGATCAGGGTAGCGGAGTGAAGACACGCATTGCAGTTGCAATTTCTCCGACAGAGTGGGCACTGTTGTGCTATATCTACATCCGTCAGCTCAGGATACCTGCATCAATTGAACACAACTTCCCCCCATCACTTGCTGTCCACCATTGCTCTTTCGATTTTAATTCACTTCATCAGTGTTTAAATGTTCACCATAGCTTGATGCATCTCAAGCAATAGAGGTTGGCACAGTTGAAGCACCGAACGTAGAGTTGCCTCTCAGCTTTCAAGCACTGATGGCATCTGTTGATCGCCGGCGCCACGGCAGCTCCTCCTCCTCCTCTAGACCGCTTAAGGAAATTAGACAGGAAGAAGCACACATTCACACGTTTGTTTACAGTTCATTGCAATTCCATAAGCAGAGCAATAACTTACGTTGAATTAACAAGAAAGCACCTGAAGAAGCCTCGCAGAGGAGGCGGCGGCGACGTTTAACGGAGGTGTTTCTGGAGCTGCAGCGGCAGACGAAGACGACGATGATTTCGATGACGATGGTGACGAACCGGAAGAAGAGGAAAGCGACCTGGCTCTGCCGCGATCTCTGATATTGGAGATGGAGAGTCGCTCCATGAGCAAGTCGGAATTATTCGAAACGGAATCGTCGTCGGAATCAGGGATTAAAGCGATCCTCCGCCGCTTAGGAATCGCCGTCGGGGATTGGGAGCGAGACGCGCCAGTTTTCTTCTTATTTTGATTGTTATTGTCCTTCTTCGTCCTCTTCCCGCGCGATGGAGCCGGTTTAGCTCCGGCAGAAATCGGCAACCAGTCGTCGTCGTCGTCGAAAACAATGCGATGCCTGATGTTGGGGGAGGGGAATCCGATGCTGCTACTGCGACGCCGGTGGTGGTGCGGCGGAGGAGAAGTTCGATTCAGGCGATGCGGCTTGGCGATCTTTGCAGCTGACATTTGTGTTCTTCTTCTTCTTCCTCACTGCGATTAGAAAACGGGAATGTAACAGTAAACCCCCTGAAATTGATTGGTGGAGAAAGAACCGAGGTTGACTGGGGGAGAGAAAAAGGTCAGCTCAATTCCATGAGATTGTGGGAAAGGGGAAGAGACCTGATGAAGCAGCGGCCGGAGAGCGGATGGGGGAATTCGATCTCGGAGAGAAGGAAATGGGATAATCGCCGGTGCTGGCGTCGGGTGCGGGGTGGGGAAACGGAGGGTGGCGGCCGCTGGTTTTTAGGTTCTTTCTGTTAGAATTAGTACCCGAAGGGGCCCTTGGAGTCGGAGAAGATTGTGACGTTTTCCCCGTTTGTTTAATGAGGGTGAATGAATGTAATAATGGAATTGGACAAAATCTTGCGCCATCAGTCCGACTGGGCTAACTCGCATTCACTCCTTCACCTTCACTTCACCGTTATTAAAATAAAATAGTTCTTACCCAATAAATAGTTAGGGTTGCATTATTTCGTTCCAAAGATTTGAAAAATCTATAACAAAAAATATGTGCAATTAATCAACCGCACGCATGTTGGAATTTCACAGTCAATTCCACCCAACCAACGACTTCTAGTTATACTGATGACGTTTTCTAGAGCATCCATAATGGGTGTCTTTTCCCCATTTCATTGTGACATGGCAATTTCATTATTAATTTCATGGTTGTAGCTTGTTATTTCATTATTGAAAGATTTCATTAGATGAAATTCAATATGGAAGAGGCAAAGTGGGTCACTTCAATTGGTTAGAGAGTATACAAATTATTTGTTGTATTATAAATGTGAATATGGCTCATAGATTTAGAAAAAATGAAAATGAAAAAATGAAATTGTAAAAAGATGTATAGATGATGGTAGGGGATACAAATGAAATAGTTAGGCTATATCATGGTTGTTGATGGTCTAGCACTAGAATAGAGAATATAGTTGAGTTCAGACTTTGAGACTTTGTTGCAGAAATGTTGATGGTCTTCTCTTGCTGACCTCTCCCATGGTAATGCTAATTAGGCATCTAGTGCCCAGTAGGTACAGTTTTTATACTGAATCGCTAAATGTCGCCCTTAAAATTGCTAACGGTCGCCCTAACTCTAATGATAAATGACTTATATACCCCCAATAAAATTTCAAAATTTAAACAAACCAAACAATCCCTAACCCCTCAAACTGAACCCCTCATCTGCCTTCTTCGCGAATCCCTCTCGACGCAACAATTCGTCGGCGTATTTCCCGCCTTCGTCGTCGCCCGTTCTTTAACGAAATTTTCAAAAAAAGCTCAACCTAAGGCAAGTTACGGTTGGTCCATGGTGCAACCGCAACTCATTTGTGGTTGCACCATGGACCAACCGCAAGGGAGCTGCGGTTGGCCCATGGTGCAACCGCAAGTGAGCTGCGGTTGGCCCTTGGTGCAACCGCAAATGAGCTACGGTTCCCTTTTTTTGTTTTTTTTTTTTTCAATTTTTGGAGTGAACTTTACCGATTCAGAGTCGCTAGTCATGATCCAGACATCATATCGACGATTCCAACTCCAGAATGACGATGATGGATTCTCTCTTTTGAATAATGTATTATTTTTTTTACTAAGTGGTGTTTGTTTGCTAAAGGAAGAGTAAAGAAGCTAAAAGGTTAAATTTGTAACTTTGATATTTTTTAGGGCGACATTTAACAATTTTTAGGGCGACTTTTAGCAACTCCCTTTTTATACCACTTCTGTCCACACGTGGCAAGCCTCCATAATTGAATTAGGACTCACTCACTCGCAAGAAGCTAATTGCCAGCTACACTGCTGACACCTTTCTGTTCACACGTGGCAGACCTTGGAGGCACCAAGTGTAACTGCCATGTCAGTGATGTCACCAACTGCCCAAAACAAAAACCCGATGTTTGTGAAACCGAGCTGTACTTATGGTCGGATTTAAAAACTTCCAACCAAAACTTATTAAATCGGCAGACAATTTTTAACAATATAAACAGGTTGAATCATTGTCCAATTATTCTTTCATGTAACTTTTACGGTACCGCTAACTTTATCAATACAATTATTGATACAATTTTAAAATAGTTGCAAAAATCTAGCGTTGTTGAATTCCTTTTAGATACAAAAGAAGATAGGCGAATCAGAATGCATCCGTGGAGGAGATACGTGTCAGGCAATCAAACAGTATTGGTGGTTAGGGGTGGGCATTGGGTGGGTCGGGTGGATTTTGACCATAAAATGAACCCACCCGCGCTTAAACGGATTGATAATTTTTAACCCATCACCCACCCACATTTAGTCTCGGGTTGGGTCGGGCGGATGGTGGATGATGCGGGTGGTTTTGTGGGTTCACCCACATCACAATGTATATAATATAAAGGAGTCAACTTGACATGATAATAGGTGAAGAGAATCATCGAGGGAAACAAGAAGTTGAAATAGGGCGAAAAATGTCGAATTAGTTCTTAACTTGGATAGAAATTCTATTATGAAAGAGTTTTCTACAGATTGAGACGATTATTAGGTGCAAGGAACTAATGAAAATAATTCCACAAAGGAAAGAGCGGTGATCTAAGCACAAGAATTAGAGGAAAAAGTAAAGGGAAGAAGAGGGGATCTCTATTTGGAAGGTTGGCTTTGAGGTTCAAACTCCAGGAGCAGTCCGAGTTTATATCTAACGTCTCCACTCTCCTCTCTCTAGCGCCAACGACTTTGATCTTTTTGCTGTTGGGTTGAGCGGGTCACCCGCACACTCACCCACAACCCACCCACCACCCGGCGGATGGCTCCCAGTGCAACCCGTCACCCATCCACAGACCCACCCACTTAACCAAATTCGGGTCAAATGCAGGTGGGTCGGCCCAAACCCGCGGATGATCCGCCCGCATGCCCAGCCCTATTGGTGGTAGTGCTTAGGAGTGTTGGTTTCGCTCGGGTTAGGGTATCCGAACCGAAACCCATGGAATCCAAATTCATTACACTTTGAAACCGAACCCGAAATCAATAAGAGACTTTTTCGATTTTAGGTTCAATTAAAGTAACCCGAAACCAAGCCAAATCATCTTAGGGGAACCAAACGCTATTTCTTTAGATTAATGGGTTTCATGTTCTTATCTGTTTCTCGAGTTAAACCGAAACCGCTAACGTGCATTCGGTTTGAAACCGCAAATCCATAACCGAAAGTGTTTTTCAGTATCAATTTAAACCAAACCCGATTTAAATCAAACCCGAACTGACAAGCCTAGTAGTGCACTAGTGCTTCTAATATATGTACCCACAAGTTCCACAACAAGTGCACCGCAAGTCCACAACGCTATACAAGAAGGAAAGCGCTGTCGTTTTACACGTTCTCTCCACCGCTACTTACAAGGTACAACAACCTCGGGGTTCTTCTACTTACAAGGCTACACTTTCTTCACTCGGCTTTGCTACGGTTCAGGAGGGCCACCCTTGGCAGCATGACTTCTCTCCTCCGACATGGACGGCGAGGACCCTGCGCTCACTCTGCTGGGAGCTGGGGTGCTCCTCCTCGACTGGCGCTTCGTCGGAACCAGCGCCGTGTCACCCTCGATCTTCCCGCTCAAGTAAGCCAGATCGCCATCCTCATCATCCTCCACGTCGTCGTCGTTTTCATCCGCGCTCTTGAAAACCGGGTGAACATACGCCTGCTGAAGGTATCCCTTCAGGTTCAGGTTGGGTTCCCTGGCCCGCTCCAGAGTGTCTTTCATCATTGCTTCCTGCAGCGGGTACCTGACGAATGCTGGTTCGTATCTTCCCTGGCAGAATCTGTAGAACCAAAATGTCAGCACAGGCAGAGCAATTAGAAATGGAGTGGCCAGTGCTGCTCCCTTGGTGCTCAGCAGCCCCATCATCAGCAGCTGCGCGATGATCAGCGCGATGAGCACGCGGCCATGGACGGCTGGCCAGAATGACGCTGCGCTCTCGTACTCTTGGTTGTACACATTTATGATCTGCAGCGATGAGAGTTTGGACATTGCTCATATATTAACTTCACACAACAACCATCAGAACCACAACTGGCTTATAGAAGATTGTTATTAGGAGGGAACTTGATTAGTTAGTTACCTGGTGGCGGAAGACAACGTAAGCAAAGGCAAAGAAGATGATGATGAAGGGGAGGAGGACAGGAGTCACGGTTGAATAGACAAGCCCCAGGAGGAAATAGAACTGTATCCGGGGCTCTTTTATGTTGAAACCAAGACTCCCCGGGTCCATAGCTTCTTCTCTATCCTTTTCAGTCTTCACCAGGAAGAAGTTCTTCAAGTGGTAAAATATCAACGGCTTCAACATTAAGATTTCTCCAGCAACGCCGGCCCAGCCATCGACCATTATGTAGGTTATGAAGAAAGTTGCTTTCATGGGGATCGCCACACCTATTGTCTTCGGGATACTGCAACGCAAACAAGATGGGAGTTTAAGATTACGTGCAACAAGTCAAGTAATCCAAGGGAAAGAAAAAATGCTTATCGAAGTGCCTGGAATAACGTACTCGCTAGTGGACTGCTTCAGGAAAGTATTCAGCTGCTCGAATGCAGTTCCAGCAATTATACTCCCAAGGAAGACATTCACAATGTTGAATATGTAAAACCGGGTAGCTGATCTCCTCTCCAGAGAGGACAGGGAGTTAAAGCCTTCAAATTTGGACATCATCATCAGTATAGTTGGTAGGAAGATCAGGAATAGCTTGAGAATGATACCAGGAAGGAAGCCCTGGATAAACGACTTAATAAAGTCCCTGCAGAAGAAAGGGAAGAAGCGAAGTTCAAAAATAGTCAAGTAATGAATGAAAACAATAAATCCGAGATTGGACTGGAGAAAATGGAACTGACGTTTCGACTATAGGCTCCAGAAAAGGTGCTGCCTTTTCAATTCCTTCAATACTTGCCAGAGATTGCACCATTGCAATGGGGATCATGAAGAAGAAGGTGAGGAAAAAGAATGCAACTCCTATTATAAGCCGCCTGATAGTGAGGGACACGTAAGGAATGGCCAGATTCTGCCAATATACATCGCGTGGTTCTGGAGCCCATTCAGTCAACCATAGAGTTGGGTTTCTTGATTGCTGAGTTTGCGCACAAACAGCTGCAGCCCATCTAGTTTTGAATGAGACGAAAGCAACTGGCATTATTGCCTTTGGATCTTTCGCCACCCTTGCCCTCTCCTCAGCTATCTGAATATATAAATCTCAAAACAGTTAAGTCAGCCCCTCAATAAAAGCCATAGTCTAATTGGTACTTCCAGAACAAGCAAGTCATTTTCAAGGCATCAACCATAGAGTAACAGATCAATCTCAAAAGGTAACCACGAAATAGAGTGCTAAAACATCAATGTCTCATAATCCCACTTGAAATCCCAGGAAACACAATAATCAAGGTCAAAGGCCACATGTGGCCGTTTGTGCAAGCAAGAAGGTAGAAGGACGTGCAGCACATGTAAACTGACTACATCGATCATAGGTGAAGTTACAAACTTACTTCCATGGATATCTTCTCAATCTTGGATGTGTAAAGATCAATAGCATCGACTTTTTCTCCCCGACATCCCAAAAATCCAGTCTGCACAATGAACCATTCCGTCTCATTCGAGTTCATGCAACTACCAAGTTCAAAACAAGAAGGAAGTACTCATAGGTAAAAAAAAAAAAAAAGATTTTGTTGCAGCCACCTTGATCATAGGGCGCTGAGCTTGGTTCCTAAAATACTTGAGTTGGTAAAAGTCCAGCCAATTCCGCAAGCTTTTCTTCTTCTTCACCAAGCTGGCTAGCTTGTTTGCGTTGTATACCTCCTGAAATAGAATATCACAATGCGTCAAACCCAGTTGAGAAATAGAAATCACAAGCACTAACATGAAGTATGGGTTCCAAGAATATTATGGGGAGTAAAGGATAGTTCTGCATCAGAGTGGTCATAGATGGTTCATAGTATACTCTACTTCATCCATTGGTACCCCAAATATTTCAAGGTATGTCATTGATTCAAGAGCAAAATTCTACCTGATGAGTGAGATAGTGGTCTGGGTGATTGACCAGGAAGAAGTGTTCCACAAGCTCACTCACGGATTCATCAGGATCCGGCGGCACATTCTGAACAAGGACCTGAGAGGGAGAGTAGCAATCAGCGTTTGTCAAAAGGAGAACCACCAAAAAAAAAAAAAACAAGCTAGTTGTAAAAATCCCATTATGCTTGACCAATCAAAAGCTACCGTGAATTGATCTGGGCGGCGTTTCTCAGAGGCAAGGAAGGCCAATCGCATCGAAGCAACTTTCTCATACTCTTTCATCAATACATACAAGGTCCAAAAGGTGAATGCGTAGGCCATCACTATATGCGCCCAGAACCTGCAAGTTCCAGTGCTAAATTTAGTAAGCTAAGCTCAAAGTGAACAAGAGCGAGAGGTGAGCTGCCAAGAAATTACCGTTGAGATTCAAGTGGAATATTGGAGATAGAGAGATTGTCAATGTTGCTGGCGGTAACATTGGCAACCTTGTCAAGGGTGTGATTGGTCACATTAACCGGGACGAGCACCGCGAAGGCCAAGCAGGCGATAGGGACGAAAATCTTGAGTCTGCAATATCCGACCTCAATAGCAATTAGGATTTAGGACCAGTGAGCCATCCAAGGAAATCGTAGCTAGAATAGAAACAACGGCGAGTCGTAGCGATGCTTACCCTAGGAGATAAATGCGGAGGTAGACGGCGGAGTCGAGCCCGGCGTGGTCGATGAGCTCCGGCTCGGGCATCTTGAGAGCCTCCGGCATCCAATTGAGGAAGCGGAGGTAGGAGCGGAAGTCCAAATTGACGACGCTAGTGACGGCGCCGCGGCTGGAGTTGGTGGGGCTGGCGCGGAGGCCCTTGAGGTACCATTTGGGGAAGTAGACGCGGTCGTTGAAGGGCTGGAGCCTCAGGATTGCGAATGCTATGAGGAATATGAAGGCGCTGAGGAGATTGATCGCCGCCGACAGCGAGATATCCGATAGCGTCGCCATCGATCGATGCTGATAATAGCTCTAGCTTATAGCTGCCGCCGCGGTTTGGCGCGATGCGGAGGGAACCGGCCGGAGTTGAAGCAGTGGAAAAAAGGAAGAGGAGGGAAAACCTTGCTCGACGCCTTCTACTTCTGCTTCTTCTGCAGCTGCTTTCCGTAGAGGAGAATCGAAGGTAGGAGAAGAAATGTGGAGGTGAGGAAATCTGAAGAGGGAGGGCAGCTAGCTGCTGAAGCTCAAAGCTAGCACGCTTCGGTTGGCGGTTGGGGGAGAGTAGAGGTATAGTTTCGGGGAACACGCCATTGGTCCATCCGCTCACATGGCGGACGCGGAGGAACGAGGATACAGAGAAAGAAGGCAGAAGAAGAAAAATCGGAAGAGCTGTCTACTTCCTGCTTCTTATTCCTTGTTCTGGTTCAGCGGCAGATAGGAGGGAGGGAGGGCAGGGCATCAAACAAGAGAACTATTTTGGAGAAAAGGGGGAATAGCTTCTATTCCCCAATAGGACTTTACCCAAACACTCTTTATTAGGGAAAGAGAACTCTAAATCATCATCATTCTGGTTTTCAAATATTCATATTCATGTCTATCTATGTAGAGGAAAGTTTTGCAAACTCATTCCTATATTCGTGGGTATCGAGTACTCATGGGTAATACTCGTCTCGTACATCAAAGTTCCAACGATCAACATTATAATACCTAAAATTTTACATGTAAATTTACAATTATAACATTAGACACACCTACTATATCATGAAGTCGATAAAGAGACAATCATTCTTAATACGGTTCAAAGCATCTTATCCTCAAACATCTATTAATCCATAAGATAGAATACAATGTAATCTAGATCATTAGTCTCTGACTATGACACATCTACTAAATAATAACTAGCTAACATAATCTTATTAACACGTGAGGGAAAATGAAAAAGTGAAAGGAGGATTGAGGAAAAGAAATTAGATTTTGATTTGAGTGGCCACTCAATTGCATTTCGGCTATTTATTTTCTTGAGTTACCTTCACTATCATTGATATGTTACAATTTGATACATGTATTTTTTTTATATGTGAAGAAATGTTCTTGGTGGGGCGGGTATGGGTATGAGTATGGGGCGGGGAGGATAAATCATATCCTCCCCATACCCATCAAACGTTTTGAGGATTTTACCCATACCCGCCCCATACTCAGTGAATGCGGGGATTCCCCGCGTTGACTCGATAGGGGACGGTCGGGTTCCCGCGACCATCGGTTTGATTGTCATCCCTAGGTGCATGTGGTGGTTTTGGAATCTAGGCCCTGGGAATAGCAATGGGTAGGTACGAGTGGATATCTCCATATTCATACTCCGTTCTGGTATAAATTGAGTAATTTATTATGAAATGCGGGTTGGGATATGTCAATCCATATCATTATGTAATTTAAAGGAAAAATGTCTGAAATATGGATTTTCCATTATAAAAATCATGAATCAAACTATAATATGATAAATATTTTCAAATTATTCGAGAAATTGAAATTTTCACATACTAACAATATGAGGTAATGAACTATTAAAAGTAAAATTTTAAGTAATTTTCGCAAATGACATTTAATTTAGACAAATGAGGATGAAGAATGGGGTAGATCAAATCGAGAACAATACTCATACCTGCTTCACCATACCTACAAAACAAGTGTTACCCACTCAAAATAAGTAAAACTTATCAAGTCGAATTTCTCATTCCCTCCACTTCCCTCCATAAATGAAACTTTATTTGCTTATAAGTTATAACGTTACAAAAGCAAGCTCTGTCCACTTTCTCTCAAAATGAAAAATCCACGTGAGCCAGTAAAAAGAAAAAAAAACCACGTGAGTGCCCTACTCCTACTCCATGAAGGAACTTTTGCAGTTACACGTAAACAGGATGAAACGTAAACGACAAAGATGAGAAACAGTTGAGATACAGAATGAAACAAAGAGATGGATAGATTAAATTAAATTAAGTAGGTTTAGGAGTATTATTAGTTTATTACACATCATCTTTGTCCAAGTCGGTATAATAGAGACTTTATGGTTGCTATAATATATCAGTTGACAAAGGGGTGATTAGTTTATGAGAGACTTGTAATGTATGTCGGCACGGGAGACAAGGATTGATTAGCAAGGAGGCATCAAACAAACAACGGCTACTTTTTCTTCCTTCTCCCTTCCTTTTATTGATTAGCAAGCAGATTTTTCAATGAAAGAAAGAAGTTGCACGCGTGGAAGGAGTGTTGCCTCCGCGGCCAGGACAGTGGCCACGCATTCATTCCCTTCACCTAATCGATCGCTGTTAGAAATCGAACAGAAAATCTAGGGTTATCGATCTGACTGAGTCGCGGACTAGGTCGCTCTCTTTAAGACGTTCGCGGCACTGCCTCGTAATTCGCACAGCAGACTATCAGCCGATCGCCTCCAGGATAAAACAGCCACTCTAATTTATTGCTCATCGGTTTTGTGCGAAAACCGGAGCTCTATGAACTCACTCTCTCTCTCGTGTTTCTGCTCTCTGAGGTGTGTTTAGAGGGTCTGGGGCGTCTCCTATTTATAGGAGCAGAAAACCCAGAATATTCCCTCTTTCTTTGGGAATAAGTCATATTTTAATTAGGGAGATAATTACTCCCATAATTAAAATATAATCTATTAAGATAATTACTTCTAATTATCTCCATAATATTCTTTTTATTAATTATCCTTCTATTTTCGTATCTAGAAAGAATACTGGATAATTAATTCAATATAGCTTTCAAAGCTATTCATTCCCAACAATCCCCCACTTGAATAGTTTTGAAACTATCTCTGAGCATCAACAGATCCATAAGATCGGGCATAAGCTAAGGTATCGCGAAGATTTGAACCTTAGCATAGTGGTTACACTTCCGATTTCATAAGGGTGACTCGTAGTCTTGAACCCTATCTCAGACAATGTAGCACACCGGATCTTTTCATTGAGTGATATTCTCTCATAGGCCGTGCGTTTATGGCCATGCACGTTATCCCGATTTAGTGAACGCTCTAGCAACTTTGTGCCTCCAAAGTTCCATAGGGAGCGGCCCCACTCCCACATTCACATAGGTGAGTCTATCAGAAGTACCCCCAAAGTAAAGTACTTCACTCCACATAGAGTATAGATCTCACTAAGAGTTTAACTCAACCTCTAAGGCTTTGGGATTCATGCTTCACTATGCATGAACTTTTCGCATACTACTCATGACTTGTTATTACCCATTGAACCCATTTCTTGGGATCTCCAGTCTATTGGGTCGGGTTACCATCACTTGTAGTCCGTGGTTCGGTAGGCATAAGTCTCATACCCTTCGCGGTACTTTGGACTTTCTCTCTAGATAATCCTTTCGTCAAAGGATCAGCTAGATTCTGTTAGGACCTTACAGGATCCACCCTCATTGCTCCTATCGTTAGGAGTTCCCTTACAGTACTGTGCTTACGACGACTTTGTCGTCTCTTTTCGTTCTAGAACCGGTTCCCTTCTTTAGTAATAGCTGCGGTGCTATCACAATTAATCAACTACCGGAGGGATCGGTCTTTCCCATAAGGGAATCTCTAGCAGTGACCCTCTTAATAAACTTTCCTCTTTACTAGCCATTGCTAGTTCTATCATTTCTGATTTCTTAGTTGATTGAGCCAGGATCGTTTACTTCTTAGACTTCCAAGACATAGCTTCTCTATCGATGTTTAAAACACAGCCTCTTGTTGTCTTGGAGTCCTCTATAGGGTATTCTAATCCGCATCACTATACCCTACCAATACAGCAAACCTTTGATAACAAATACCAAGGTTTTTTTTCTGTTCTTTTAAGGTGTCTCATGACCCCTTTCAATAGCATTTCAATGCTTCATACTAGGACAATCCATAAGCCTGTCAAGTACTCCCACTAAATCGGGTCTCATGTTTATCAGCTGCCTCTCGCAGACTGTCAATACTAGTATATTCTAACCTTCTTACACCATCTTAGGTGTTCTTTAAATATTTATACTAGCATCATCAAACATGTATACAGGTGTACAACTTGTATTTTCCTAGTTATTAGGATCTCTAAGCATAACATTTGTTTCATTCAGATCCTTCACATTCAAAATTCTCAACCATCATGGTTTTTCAATATTGACATCACGAGTCTTTGTACCAAAGATCGATGTGTCATTCATAGTGCAAGTGTCATTCTCAAATTTGTACAAAATGCACTTGTCACTTTCACTTTTAAAACCATGAGAGAGAACCAGTTTATTCATGCCATCGTCTTAGAGTCTATTTCAAATCTTACAATGATTTGTCTAACTATAGACTCCCTAAGCATGTTCAAGAATAACAACCCTATAGGTTGTCCCATGTAGATTTTCCTATCTAAATCACCATCACATAAACATGTTTAACAATCCATCTGACGCACAACACTAGCAATCAGAACATACATGGATGTTATTCTACCTATGGTGAATAGATAACAAGAAAATTTACAATTTTTCCTTTTCGCTTAAAGCCTTAGCTATTAAGCGATCCTTATACTCATAAACTAAACCAATAGGTTTCACTTTTCTTTTAAGAATCCATTTATTACCCATGACTTCATTGCCAAGAGGTAATTCTCAAAGATGCCAAATCTTGTTCGATTCTATCGATATATTACCCAAGGCCTTTCAACCAAGAGGTAACTCTACAAGATTTTAAGTCTTATTAGACTCCACAAATTCCATTTCGTTAATAATGGATTCTCCCACAAATCTGCATCTTTATGAAAGTTCGAACTTCTAGCAGACTTGTAGGATCTCTTCTTAGGGTGTAAATAACAAATTCATAACCAAAATCTTTTCGCGATTTATGGTTCATTTGTCTCTTCTGAGTTCATACCCAGATTCATCACCCCCACTAATTATCCATTATTAATAGCAGGCAAGATATCACCCCCACTATTTCTCGATTTAAATGGAATGACATTAATGAATTCTACACAACAATGAGTATTTCATTTCATAAGCTTATGTGTTCTATTATTGATAACACAATCAATAAAACACTCTCATGCTCATCCTATATTGCACTAATTCTCAAACTATACCATATGAAAAAGCATTTCATAAATAACGTTTTAAATCAAAAGTATCACATCTTTAATTAGTGCAATCAATAATAATGTGATAAAGCATTTCACATTATTCTCATTCACCCATTTCAAAATGAATCAAATCCAAAGATTTGGATTCTCTAATCACATATCTATGTGTCATTTATCTTAGCTATGAAAATCACATTTATCACAACCATTATGAGAATGTGATCCTAGCTATTCAATTCTTCAAGATATGCATCAAAGACATGCATGCAAGACCCATAAGAATTAAACACTTTAACTTTATCATCATATGCATACTCTCATGATCATTATCAATAGAGGAGTGAACAATACTCAACAACACTTTCTTAATATGCTTCGAGGTAACAGTATTTA